ATGAGACAGGACCAAGAACGGAAACGTCACGTGTTGAGGCTGTGTGGAATAATAGCGAGTAAAAAAAAGACAATAATTAACGGCAGAAAATAATTGTACTCTTATGTGAACCCATACATCATCGTCATCATCGTCGTCATCGAATGACAAAACAGTGGAATGAAGATGATGGATTCCGTTTGTCAATGAGTGTAGTTAATGTATTTTAAGGCTCTGTCATATATAACCGACGGAAGGCATTTCACGGTGTAAGTAGTTCATTATAAAAACAAAAACTTAAGACAGCACGGAACAGCTCTTTTATGTATGTTGAACTTCTTTTGCACCGTACGTAGCCAACCAATCTTGCAGTGTTGTGTCTTGTGGCCACGTGCTCTTATCATCGTCGCTAATCCCGTCCATCGCCTGACAGCTACTGCCCCCTGACAACGCACCTCGGATCTTGCGTCGACAGCTCTCATCTTGTAGCTACGTACAATGCAACTTGTACTCTTACCAAACGAGAAGAACGAAGACGCGTCGCTTACTGCGGCGAATCATGATTCAAATCCGCGGCGTGACGCCAAGACCACAGCGGCGCTTGAAAGAAAGTCATTTGAAAGAGACCGTCCCCCTTATCCCCGCACCCTCCCCCCTCCCCCCGTCCTTCCTTAACTATACTTCACCACGCCGGTAGATGCGGGTGGTGGCGAGGACGTGGGGAATGAGAGCGTAGAGTTACGGTACAACAACGCCGCCCCACCACGTTGTCACGCGGCAAGCCTGTGACACCTGTTACGCACTGCGGTTACCAATCAACCAACCACCCCCCCCCCCCCAAGTATATTTATTTATCAGCTTTGTAAAAATTCAGCTACTAAAGATGGGCCCTTTATCTTCTTGGTTCTTTCGGTAAAGTCACGTAGAAGGGAAGTAATAATAATATAGGTAGAAGTAATAATAATAGTACTTCCCTTCTGCGTGACTTTACCGAAAGAACCAAGAAGATGAATCCCTGCAGTCACGAAAGCTTTAAATCGAAAACAAATGTGCCCTTGATTTTATTTTAACCCTGTGCGCGAGCGTCATTGAGAGGCTCACTCAACCACACGCAACTCATCGAACGAACACAAACTGGGAGTGGGGGAATTTCAACTTGTGGTGTAGGAGGGAGGCAACGCCCCCCCCTGACCCCCCCCCCAAGAGGGAAGGGGAGGGAGGGGGGTTCAAGCATCTTTAGGGGGGAGTGGGCTGAGTGAAGGCGAAGGAGTCCGCAGGTGTTATAGGCTCTGGGGGAGCGGTGGGCGATGTCTGCTGCTCATAGCTCAGTGCACATAACCACGCTCGCGACGCCACCGTCATTGTTTCTTTGCCAAGGCACAGCCAATTGCAATAAAATTACTTTTTTTTCGCAACAACAACAACAATAATAAAGGTTTATCCACGGGCAGTGTTATTTAGTTTACAGAGCCCTCTCACTAATCCACTGCTGCATGATAAGGCCTGCTCGCCTCCCGCAACGGGGTTCGTTAGACCATACTTCACCACGCTGGTCATCACGCTGATGTCGGTCGCGGGGTCGTGAACTGAACTCAGGTTTAGGCGGAGTTCAAAGCGCAGCGCCACCGCTCCCCGCTCAACGACAACCGCTTGCACACCCGTTAAATTACGACGCTGTCACATTCGCCGGATTGTAAGACACACTTATCATCCCAACACCGCGGCTCACCCCACACCACACCCCCCACCTCCCGGTATTTTAAAGTAAAAAGTTGCTGGGTGTCTTTTCACTTTCTGGAGCGTCTTATAATCCGGATAATTGTAGGCAATTATCGCGATGTTCAAGAAGAGACTCGCATGCTGAGTTAAATAGGAAGGCACTGCAGGTTAATAGTTAATACATTACTAATATCATCACCATCATGATTATAATTACAATCACCCTCATCATCATCATCACGATTATCAACTGGCAAAATGTAATACAAAAATCACGTTACTATCTCCCATCCAAAGGCAGTTGGAAGTGTGCAATTGGTAAGGCGCGTGGTGATTCTCCGTAAGGCACCGCGTGGGTAAGCGTCACGGGCTTACTAATCAAGCCATCAAGACATTTGCTTACAGCATCAATTACAAAAACAGTTTTAATTACGTGTCTCTCATCTTCGCCCCCTAAATTGTTTTATCCCGATCGTTGCTAGCGGCGGCGTCGCGAGATGACAAGAAAAAAAATCCATTTGGAAATCGAGCGGAGCAGTGAGACGCCCCCCCCCCCCTCCGTGTGAAGAGAGCGGTCCACGGACTCGGATATCACAGAGCCACATCTGAGATTCCATCTTTTATCAAGTGTCACGCTGTCTGGTCCACACACACAAAACGGCCCACGTAAGCGGACATCACAGAACTACCTCTGAGATTCCATATTTTATCGAGTGTCACGCTGTCTGGTCCACACACAAAAAACGGCCCACGTAAGCGGACATCGCAGAATTACCTCTAAGATTCCATATTTTATCGAGTGTCACGCTGTCTGGTCCACACACAAAAACGGCCCACGTAAGCGGACATCACAGAACTACCTCTGATATTCCATATTTTATCGAGTGTCACGCTGTCTGGTCCACACACAAAACGGCCCACGTAAGCGGACATCACAGAACTACCTCTGAGATTCCATATTTTATCGAGTGTCACGCTGTCTGGTCCACACACAAAACGGCCCACGTAAGCGGACATCACCGAGCTACCTCTGAGATCCCTTTTTATTCAAGTGACAACTCTGTTCTACGCACACAGTAGAGGGCAACACGTTCCCACCCGCTCTGCTACATGAGAGCACTGCTGCTCAGTCGCACGATAGTCAACCGGATGATTTTAATTCTAAGAGCTGTAACTGAGCCAGATTTAGCGAGATTCAGTGTGCATGTTTTTCATTTTAAAATAAGGCCACCCTATCTGTATAAGTACGATAACAATGATGACAATTAGTGATTGATTCATAGCCCGTCAGTTTTTTTTTATCGTTGAGTGTAAAGTTCGAAAAATGGGTTCAAGGTGCAGCGCTGCAAGTGCTCGCTAACGCCACTGCTGATAGAAGGGGTCTCCACTCCTGAAGGCCATTTGGCCCCGCTGAGTATAAAGTGAACGTGGCCCATTCTTCGTGATCAGCTCCGGAGGAAGCCCCAGACTGTGAAGCCTAAAAATACACGGCCACCTTTGTCTTCCCTACGGCCGAAGGCACCTTTACGTGACGAGAGACGAGAAGACGTTTCAGCACATGGGCCCTTTTCAGAGCTGGCAGAGAGATTCCACGGAGTCATTTCACAGTGTGTGTGGGGGGGGGGGGGGGGGATTAATTGTTTTTTTTGAGATGTTACATTCCCAAATAAATGCAGCCCCTGAAAAAATTTGAACAAGTCACAGTCTCCCTGCCTGTCGATTCTCTCTCCGCCCTAAAGGAGGCCCATTGCCCGAAATGTTAGTGTATATTACAGGACCTATGCAGCTGGTACATTAATCGTTAATGAGCAGAGCCCCGTATGATTAAGTAATTTCTGAGAATTAATCTATGAACGATTAAAAGTGAATGTTTTTTGGCGGTTGGTTAGTCGCGCTGGTGACCAACCCCCAAATCCCGTCTTGTGAAGGCTGGAAACCCCCACCTATATGCATGTCATCCGAAAAGTCGATTAATGGAACCGATGATCAAAAGAGAAATCGATCACTTTGGCTATCGGTTGACAGCCCGGCTCTAAACGATGACTTGAATCAGATCTGGGTGGCTCGTAAAACTCGTTCAGACATCGGCCAAACATCCCAGTGCAGGGTCCTCTTTACTACGCGTCATAGGACTCATCGGATAAATAAATGCATATCATTATTATAATAATAATTAAAACGAATATCATCAACATGTATTTGTAATATCAACACCGTCACGATCAGCATTATAGTTATTGTTCATGTTAATGTAAGGCGGTGTAGTTTTTGTTCCGCTATAAGTCAGAGGGCTTCCAGTTCAGAGTAAGATACATTTACTCTCTCCAATAAAGAATCGCCATCATCAGTCATGCTCTACCCACTGCTGGATGAAGGCCTCCCCTAAGCCACCGCCACCACCTCTCACGTTCATGCGATGGAACAACGTTGCACCCGGTCAATCCGGACATGCCTTTTCTCTCTTTCTCTCATTCACCATAACGGGTGGCAGTACAGCAAGTGGGTGGGTTTTGCGAACCCGCATGCGAAGGGGAGTATTGAGTGACGTTATCCCCTCGTACACACACACACACACGCAGCGTGGTCGTGGGGTTTCTCCGGTGTTGTTTTGGTTGTCTCTCCAGAAAAGCAACACGAGACGCACACGAAAAGCCAAACTCTCGATCATTATTTGAAGAAAATAAAAAAAAGTTGGAATTCATGGCCAAACGTAGCAGGACCCTCCTGAAAGAGAGTCTTGATACTTGAGTGAGGCTTTCCTGAACAATGAATTACGATTTTTTGTTTACGATTTGTTCCCATCATCATCAATTAATAATATTAATATTTAAAATAATAATATAATTACTTTTTAAAAGTCAACTCTGAAACCCCAATGGATGTGGAATGCGAGTTGGAGGTTCGGTTGCAGATTAAAGCCACGTGGAGATCGATCGGATCAATCAATTAATTACTTGATCAATGTATTTATTTATGAATAGAGACCCTCATTAATCGATCAATGAATCGATAGAGACCATCGACTCACATCGATCGCCGGCACAAATGCGACGATCAAAACGGCGAGGCGAAAATGAAATTTCATTGATCCTTGAATCTTCCTGCGATCCGTCAACCCGTGAAAATTCCTAGAATTAATCATTGATGGGCGGTGGGTGGTTTGGGGGGGGGGCTTGTTGTCGGGGGGGGGGGGGTGGGGGGCTATGAGGTGAGAGGAGGTGAGGGTGAAAGTCACGGTGGGGGGGGGGGGGCGGTCGGATTATTTTCATCCCGATTGCTGAGCACAGCCCCAAGCCCCCAAAGCCAACCCCCCCACCTACCCCCACCTACCCCTACCTACCCAAACAACAAAACAAAACACCGCCGAGCGTCCAGCAACAAACGGCACACCTCCCCTTCTCCGCGGCGGCGGCGGCCCTCAGTCGTCGGTGATGGAGAGGCGGCTGAATATTGGCAGCCGCCGATTGGGGTCCATGACGGGCGACTCGGAGCCGCTGAGGCTGCCCGAGGAGCTCATGGACGACGAGCAGCTGTCGTGGTCCGAGAAGGAGGAGCCCTGGGGGCTCGGAGGCGGCTCCGACACGGGGGACGGCGCGGAGCCCGCGGGGCGCCTCTGCTCGCAGCCCGCGGGGCAACTCGGCGGAGAGGCGCCACCTACCGGAGCTGGCTGCTGATGATTCTGCTGATGATTCTGCTGCAACTGATGCTGCAGCAGCTGTTGCTGATGCTGCTGCTGCTGTTGGATTGGACGTGGAATGGCAAAGGGTGCGAACATGTTGGCCAGCTCTTGGTGAGAGAAGGTGAACGCGTTGTTGGCGTAGCCCCCCGCCGAGTAGCCCGACGAGGAGGACGACGAGGGCGGCGGCGTCGACGACGACGCCGACGAGGAGGCGGAGGAGGAGGACGAGGAGGAGGCAGCGGCGGCCGCGGCGGCAGCTGAGCCGACGGGGGCCAGGAGGGCCGCGTCGATCTCCGCGTAGAGGCCCGGCGGCGGTGGCGGCGGGGTGAGCGACAGGGGGCTGTGGAGACGCGGCGGCGAGTCCAAGCCGAGCATCGCGGGCGTGGAGAAGCCGGAGAAGCTCAAGCTGTGCTGGAGCCTGGGCCGGTGGTCTCCACCGCCACCGCCGCCATCGGCCACCGTGTGCGGACCTCTTCTCCTCGGCGTTGTGGATGAAGTGGCAGCGCGGGCCGTAGGGGCAGAAGCCGATGGTGTGGAAGGTGCGGCACAGCTCGGTCTTGTACTTGGGGTGGCGCACCAGCGTGCGCAGCTCGTGATGCCCGTGCGCGAACTGGCACTTGTCGCCGTACTTGCACGCGCCGCTCTCCTCGAACGGGCGGCACAGCTCCGTCTTGTAGCGGCTCGAGCTGCTGCTCTGGGCGCCGAGGCCGCCGAGGCCGCCGCACGGGACGGTGGCGCTGCCGGCGCTGGCGACCCGGTGAAGTGCGGGCCGCTCCCCGCCCTCGCTGTACGATCTGTCGCGGAATTTGCCCTCCTTCGGGAAAATGTGTGGCTGCTGCTGCTGCTGATTATGCTGCTGCTGCTGTTGATTATGCTGCTGCTGCTGTTGATTATGCTGCTGCTGCTGATTATGCTGCTGCTGTTGATTATGCTGCTGCAAAGTTGGTTCCGCTTTGAAGCAGAATTCTTGGAACTTTGGGGAGCGGTGGCGTCGATCGGAGAAGATGAAGTTGCCCGCGGGCGCAGCGCTCGCCGGCTGAGGTCGCTTGTCCAGGATCCCCATGCCCAGGCCTCTGCTGGAGTTACTCTGTGGCGGAGGAGGAGGCACAGAGAGGGGGGAGGAGGAGAGGGACGCGGGGCAGACTTTTAAACCACTTTTATTGCTTCCAGCAGCAACAGCACTGGAGCCGATTTTCGAGACAAAAGGCAAAGTCACCAGCAACAAATAACACAAAACACAATTTATAAATAAAAAGTCACGTGGTGGTGGTGGTGGTCGCCGTTCACGCCGGTAGAGAGGGGCTTTTCCGCCCCCACCCCCCTCCCACAGAGGTGAGGGGTGGTGGCGAGAGATACGTATAAGTGGCGGAGATATAAGCGGCGAGAGGTGGGAGAGGTAGAGGTGGAAGAAAGCGGTGGGAGAGAGAGATGCAATAGAGAGAAAGGAGAGAGGTGGGAGAATGGTGGGAGAGGGATATGGCGGAGTAAGAGGTGGGAGAGATACAGGTGGGACATAGAGAGACGTGAGATAGATGGGGGAGAGGGAGATGGGAGAGTTAAGTGGGAGAGAGAGAGAAAAAGTGGTCAGTATGTCGGTTGCCACCTGTCCCGGATTCCCCAGAACCGTCCTCTTGTTGAGGAGGAGGTGGTAGCTGCAGCCCCCCCCCCCCTCGACCGCCGATATCCCTGCAGGGTTCCGCGGGACGTGAGGGGTCCCGGGGAACCCTGCCCGGAGCGGGGCTACGCACCGCTCCACGCAACGACCCATCCCTCCTCCTCTTCCTCCAGCAAAACAAGGCACACGCGCAGCCCCTGCAAGTGCCAGTTCGCGCTACTGTTGGCAGATAGGCGCCTCCGCTGGAGGGAGCTCCATAGAGCCTCCCTCCATCCCTGGAGGGAACTTGGCCTACTCTTCCACGGTAGGGCTCGTCGACAGTACGCAATGGTGGGTAGCCACCCACACTTTACCCCACCGCGCCGATCGAGTGACGCTGAACCCATTGACGCTGCTGGGTGGACAGAGGCGGGGCGGGTGATGGGACGGTAAGAAACTCGGCCCCCCCGTTCTTGCTACTGCCGCGCCGGGCGATCGAATCGAGCCGGCGACCTCTGGGCGACAAAGTCCAGCGCGTCCGCTGACCATCGCGCTGCGAACGATGCAATTATTATTCTTGGTTCTTTCGGTAAAGTCACGTAGAAGGGAAGTAATAAAATAATAAAAATAAAACATAATAAAATAAAATAATTCTCACGACGTTTCGGCTACAACGCAAGCAACCGTCTTCAGGTGAAGAATGAGACACTACCAAACTAGGAGCTTATATATAAGCTGCGTTGGAGGTGGAAGAGCGCCTTAACAAAAAGAATGTGCATATGAAGAGGAATTTAGCATATTCATGGAAAATGCAATTATTATTTATCGATGGCACGAAGGCGAGCTCGCCGCAGCTGCACGACAGTTCACGTCATTTGGGATCTTAGTAGCACTCGAGCTGTGCGTGCACGAGGTGCGGCTGCCTCCGTGGGGCTTGTGACCGTGTGAGTGTGTGTCCGTGTGTGTCCGTGTATCACGTGATGCTGCTGCGTGCCTGCGTGTGTGAGGGATGTGTGTGTGTGTGAGGCTGTGTGTGAGTCCATGTGTGTGTGTGTGTGAACCTGTGTGTATGTATTAGTCGAGAGCGGCAGTGTCGTGGTTAGCGCGCTGCGCTATGAACCCGGCGACCCGAGTTCGATTCCCGCTCACGGCCAACACCAGTGACGATTATCTGAACCGGTCCTGGGCCTCCCCTAGGTCGACTCAGCCTCAAATGAGTATCTGGTGCGGTGTGTAAACATCGCCACTGGGCACCTATGAAGACCGTTCTTGCCTTCATAGGTGCTCGCTAACAGCACTTGCCCCTACAGTCTGTTAAGGCTATATGGGGGATCTTTATCTTTGTCTTTTTGTGTGGCTGTGCGAGGCTGTGTGTGTGTGAGACCGCATGGCCGTGTGTGTGAGGCTGTGTGTTTAAGTGAGGTTGTGTGTCTGTGTGTGTGAGGCTGTGTGTTTGAGTGAGGCTGTGTGTCTCTGTGTGATGCTGTGTGCCTGTGCGTGTGAGACTTTGTGTCTGTGTAAGGCTGTTTGTGTATGCGTGTGTGAGGCTGTGTGTGTGTGAGAGGCGATGTGTCTGAGTGTGAAGCTGTGTATCTGTGTAAGGCTGTGTCTGTCTGTGTGAGGCTATGTGTGTCTGTGTGAGATTGTGAGTCTGTGCATGTTTTAGGCGATGTGTCTGTGCGAGGCTGTGTCTGTGAGAGCCTCTGTGTGCGGTTGCACGTCTGTGTGTGTGTGAGGCTGTGTGTGAGTCCATGTGTGTGTGTTTGTGAGCCTGTGTGTATGTATTAGTGGGGAGCGGTAGTGTCGTGGTTAGCGCGCTGCGCTACGAATCTGGCAACCCGGGTCCGATTCCCGCTCACGGCCAACACCAGTGACGATTATTTGAACCGGTCCTGGGCCTCCCCTAGGTTTACTCAACCTCAAATGAGTACCTGGTGCGGTGTGTAGTAAACATCGCTACTGGGGAGACAAAGGCGGCCGGGCGTGGTGCTGGCCACCCATCCCCTCGTGTGCCGTGCCGGCCTTCATAGGTGCTCGCTAATAGCACTTGCCCCTACAGTCTGGTCGTGTTTGCGAGGCTATTCTGTGCGCCTACGCGTGTGTGTGAAGCTATGCACGTCTGGGTGTGTGTATATCATATCGAGGCTTTGTGTGTCTGCGTGAGTGCCTGTGTTTGCGTATATGCGAGACTACGTCTGTGTGCAAGCCGCTGGCTGCGCGTGTGCGTCTCTCCGTGTGTATGTGTCTCGTGTGGACACCGCGTGACGCTCCGGCCCTCATAGGTGCCACTCGCTAACGGCACTTGCCCCAACAGCCTGTGCAGGCTATACGGGGAATCTTTTTATTTTTATTATTTATGTGCCCATGTGTTTGTGCCTGGTTATGTGTGTTTCCGTGTGCTGGCGTCTGTCTGTGTATGACTCGGCGCTTGTTCCCGCCCACGGCCAACACCGGTGACGATTATCTGAACCGGTCCTGGGCCTCCCCTAGGTCGACTCGGCCTCAAATGAGCACCTGGAGCGGTGTGTCAACAGCGCCACTAGGGAGACAAAGGCGGTCGGGCGTGGTGTTGGTCATCCACGCCCTCGTGTGCCGTGCCGGCCTTCATAGGTGTTACTCGATAACAGCACTTTCCCCAACAGTCTGTCGATGCTATATGGGGGATCTTTGTCTTTGTTTGTATGTATGGGTGTGTCTCTATGTGTGTCTGAGTGTTTCTATATTTGCGTGTAATGTTCTGCAAAAGCTTGTTAAAAAAAACTGGACAAAGTTACCCTATGTCATATACTGTAGGGGCAAGTGTTGTTAGCGAGCACCTATTAAACCCGACAGGGTGCACAAGGGAGTGGCGTCACCAACACCACGGCCGCCTTTGTATCCCCATAAACACACCACACCAGGTACTCATCCCAGGCTGAGTCGACCTAGTGGAGGCCCAGGACCGGGATCGGCTCAGACAGACGCGTCACTGATGTTGGCCGTGAGCGGGAATGATCTCGGTAGACCGCGTGCATATCGCAGTGCGCTAACCACCGCGCCACCGCTCCCCACACGTGTAAACATCCCCCGTATAGCCTTAACAGACTGTTGGGGCAAGTGCTGTTAGCGAGCACCTATGAAGGCCGGCACGGCTACACGAGGGGGTGGGTGGCCGACACCACGCCCTAGCCGCCTTTGTCTTCCCAGTGCCGATGTTAACTGCACCGTTTACACGTGTACACAAATGCTGCATGGTATAACGCATTGATTATATCATAATAAGTATCGACTCACGCGCGCTAAATAGTCGCTCACACACACCCAGTCGGCATTGCAGCGCAGTACGATAACCACACAAAGACAAAGATCCCCCGTATAGCCTCAACAGATTGTTGAGGCCAAGTGCTCTGAGCGAGTGAGCATCTATGAAGGCCGGCACGGCACGCGATGGGGTGGGTGGCCGATACCACGCCCGGCCGCCTTTGTCTCCCCAGTTACTGATGCGTTTTCACACCGCACCAGGCACACACTCATTAAGGTCCGAGGCGACCTAGGGGAGGCACAGGACCGGTTCAGAAATTTGCTGTCACTTTGCGGGCCGGGTCCGTAGCGCAGTGCGCCTAACCACTGCGCCACCGCTCTCCAACCACACACACGCAAAGATCCCCCCGCTTATAGCATCAACAGACTGTTGGGGCAAGTGCTGTTAGCGATCACACACACACATGCGCGCGCGTGCATTATAGACTGTATGTGTGTGTGTGTATACTGCAGTGAAGATTTACCTTATAGACACAATCGCCCACGTCAAAGAGTCCCGCGAGTAGAGCTGTAGACATTATCGGGGGGGAGGGGGGGGCGCTTGAAGGCCAGAAGTTCTCCAAGCCACAGAAATTTAAACGTTTACCCACCCCCCCACCCCCCTCCGCCCCCCAGCAACATCCACTGCCAAATGCGACGAGAAGCAGAGCAGAGGTAGAGAGAGAGATGATGATGGCGTGGGTTGGGGAGAGCGCAAAGAAGAGACAGAGGAGTCCGACAGAGAGACACGGGCAGAGGAGGGACACGGAGAGAGAGAGAGAGACCTCCGTTTTGCACGGACTGCATAACAAGCCTCAACTTCAAGAGTTTATCCGAGCGGCGAAGTTTGGAGTCGTGGTCGGACGTAGGCGGAGTCTGGACCCCCCCCCCCACTCTCGCCCTCTTCCACCCCCCACCCCCCACCACTCTTTCTTATTTTCTTTAAAACTTTATTTTTTTTCTTACACGAGAGGAGAGAGGGTGTGACGGAATGTTGGGGGGTGGGGCGGCGGAGGGGTCAGAGCAGATGGGGGGGTGGGTGGGTGAGTGGGCGGGAGGGAGGGAGATGGACAGAGAGGGGATGGGTGGGTAGGGGGAGGGAGCGACAAGGAGGGGGGGAGTGGGAGACGGAGGGGGTGGTGTTCTGGGGTTAGACGGGGGGGGGGGGGTCGAGGGAGAACGGGGGGAGTTGGCGGGGTGGGAGAGAAGTGAAGGGGGAGGGGGGAGAATGGGGGAGAATGGGGGAGGGAGGTGGAGAGGGTGGAGCGAGAGGAGAGGGCGTGGTGGAGAGGGGAGCTGAGCTGCGGAGATAGTTTCGTTGTGGCTGGTGATGGTGGTTGTGATGGTGCTGGGCACCCACCCCCTCGTGTGCCGTGCCGGCCTTTATAGGTGCTACTCGCTAACAGCACTTGCCCCTACAGCGTGTTCAGGCGACGCGGGGAGGATCTTTGAGGTTGTAGTGATGGTGATGGTGTGGGGAGCGGTGGTGCAGCGGTCAGCGCGCTGCGCTACGAACCCGCTCACGGTCAACACCACCGGTGACGATTAATCCGAACGCGGTCCCGGGGCCTCTCCTAGGTCGACTCAGCCTCAAATGAGTACCCGGTGCGGTGTGTAAACATCGCCACTTGGGGAGACAAAAAGCGACAGGGCGTGGCGGTGGTTGGTGTTGTTGTTGTTGATACACAACTACTTCCTGCGCTGTACCGACCTTAATAGGCGCTCGCTAATAGCCCTTGCCCGCGGCGGCTTGGGTGTCTACACGGGGGATCTTTGCCTTTCTTCTATGTTGGCTGGCGATGCTTAAGCTGGGACGGCGGTGATGGTGGTGATGATGGTGGTGATGGTGGTGATGATGGTGGTGATGGTGGTGATGATGGTGGTGATGGTGGTGATGATGGTGGTGATGATGATGGTGATGGTGGTGATGATGGTGGTGATGGTGGTGATGATGGTGATGATGGTGATGGTGGTGATGGTGGTTAATGTGTGGTTGTTGACGTTGTGGGCGATGGCTGGTGGCCGCATTTTATCATCGGAGGGAAGTTGCGGCACTGCCTCCACCACAAGCCGAGCGTGCGGTTTGTGGCACTGGCGGCGTTGGAGAGAGTGGGGAGAGTGGAGGGGGGGGAGGGGGTGGGGGAGGGAGAGAGTGGGGGGGAGTGGGTGGGAGAGAGTTTGGAGAGAGGGAAGAGGAGGGGTGGGGGGGGGTTAGAGAGAGAGGAGGGGAGAGGGGGGAGAGTTGCGGGACTGGAGTGATAGAGGGAGATGCGGGAGTGGAGGGGTTGAGAGGGGGGGGAGACAATTTGGGAAGGAGTTGGAGAGAGGCAGGGGAGTGTGTGGGGAGGGAGTGTGTGGGAGGGAGAGTGGGTGGGAGAGTGTGTGGGAGGGAGGGAGAGTGTGTGGGGAGGGAGTGTGTGGGGAGGGAGAGTGTGTGGGAGAGTGTGGGGAGGGAGAGTGTGTGGGAGGGAGGGAGAGTGCGTGGGAGGGAGAGTGTGTGGGAGGGAGAGTGTGTGGGAGGGAGAGTGTGTGGGAGGGAGAGTGCGTGGGAGGCAGAGTGCGTGGGAGGGAGAGTGTGTGGGAGGGAGAGTGTGTGGGAGGGAGGGAGAGTGTGTGGGGAGGGAGAGTGTGTGGGAGGGAGGGAGAGTGTGTGGGGAGGGAGAGTGTGTGGGAGGGAGGGAGAGTGTGTGGGAGGGAGAGTGCGTGGGAGGGAGAGTGTGTGGGAGGGAGAGTGCGTGGGAGGGAGAGTGTGTGGGAGGGAGAGTGTGTGGGAGGGAGGGAGAGTGCGTGGGAGGGAGAATGCGTGGGGAGGGAGAGTGAGTGGGAGGGAGAGTGTGTGGGAGGGAGAGTGTGTGGGAGGGAGAGTGCGTGGGAGGGAGAGTGCGTGGGAGGGAGAGTGTGTGGGAGGGAGAGTGTGTGGGAGGGAGAGTGTGTGGGAGGGAGAGTGTGTGGGAGGGAGAGTGTGTGGGAGGGAGAGTGTGTGGGAGGGAGAGTGTGTGGGGATGGAGACAAAGATGGTGGCGTGGCTATCGAGTGCGCAGGCGGTGCAACTGCGCCGTGGCCGGGCTAAGAGAGGGGAGGGGGTGGGGGGGGTCAGAGGGGGGAGGGGTGACATTTAATTCATTGCACCAGGACTCATGCCAACCACGACACACACTCCTGAAGAGAGAGACAGACTTTGACTTTTAAACAACTTTTATTGCCGCCAGCAGCAACAGCACTGGAGGCGATTTCGATATGAAACACACAAAGTCACCAGCAAACAAATGAAAATAAACGCTACAAATCCACGCGCTGTGGCGCTACAAGCACCGCGCACAACACGAAAGAAAAGTCACGTGGTGGTGGTTGTGGTGGTGGTGGTGGTGGTGATGGTGGTCATCGCGCACGCCACGGTGACGAGCGAGCGCTTCGGAAGGTGAACACGAGGGTGCCGTCCACGCTGGTGCAGAGAGGGGCTTGTCCGGCTCCCCAGCGTTCGAAGAAGACGCGCTGCACATCACCGACATGTGTGTGGTACGCGTGCTACAGCCGGAGCCGCGCCTTAAGAGAGAGAGAGAGTGGAGGGAGGGGAGAGAGAGTGGGGGGTGGTGGTTTAATTTCAAACTGGGTCTGTCCGGGACCGCGCCCGGCACACCACATCCAGGTCACCGCGATCGCTCCGGCTGCGGGGACACAGACGCCGAATCGAGCCTCCCGGCTGGTATCGACCGGGCGACCGCTTGAGCTCCCAACTCCACAAGAAGTAGGAGGCGGCAGTCTGCCACCCACGCGCTAAGCAGCATCAACGCCGCTGAGATTCTCAGATCCGTGCGTGTGTTCAACTTCTTTCGCGCCGTACGTGGCCAGCCGCGCTCACCGGAGGTGCATTCGGGCTGACTTGGTCGTCAGCAAGAACAACCAACAACAACACCACCAACAACAACAACAAACAACAACAACCAAGAACTAAAATCCCCCCCCCCCCCCGCTTCCGCTACCCATCAAGATGACGTCACAATGGACTTAACTGTCCATGTCCAATTCGGTCGTTGATTGGTCCGTTGGCGAGCGTGCGTTCATTCCGTTCCGTCGGACTTCGTGATCAAAGCCCCCCCCCACCCCTTCTACCCCCCTCCACTCCCTGCCCCCCACTAACTTTTAGCGTGAGGCGGTGGTGCCGGCCACCTCCGTGGAGAATCAATCACTCCAATTAAGCTCCGCTCAGGGCGCTCGTGACAGCCACTAATTGCCTCTCTCCGTGAGTTGTGGGTGTTTGTGTTTTAAGATTTTGGGGGTGCGGTGGGGGGTTGGAAAGAAAGTGGGGGGGGGGGGGGGGCAGGGGGTTTGGGTTAAGGGTGGACGAGGGTGGACAGAGCGGGCGGCCGAGTTGAATTTTATGGTCACTGGACGGGCCACTGGACGGCCACTGGACGGGCCACTGGACGGCAGTATTGGTTAGAGACGAGGGTCGGGGATAAATAGTCCGTGAGTGTGTGTGGGTACGCGGGGGAGGAGGGCACGTGGTTATAGGATTATTGAGCTACACAGACTCGCGTTGGCTCTGATCATTTGTCTGGAGGAGAGTTTCGTTTGGGTCTCGTTTGATTATCTCGCCTCGCGTGCGAATCGATGATCGAGGCGATGCGATGCGACGCGGCCGGCCCCCCACTCTGCCCTCCCACCCAGCACACCCCCCCCCCCCACCCCCCACAAAATTGATACCAAATGTAGACGAGGTCCAGTTACGGGCGTGATTTTCACTCATACACACACACGGCTCGTGTCATAAATAATAATCATGATCTCATATGAAGAAGCTAATTATTTCAGTGATACCGTGTGAAAAGAAAGCAACACATTCATCAATAAACGCTGTATGTGGTCGTAAAAAGTACAATTCTAATAATCGGCGACGTTTCAGGCAACTGTCCTTCATTGCACTGTGATTATGTATATTTTTATTCTATGTATGTTTTTACCTATATTTTTTCAAGCAACGTTATTCTAGGATAATAACAGTAATACAATGCTTTTTATTTTCGCGTGATGAAGAAGGGTAATTTCACAAAACGGCGCCTGTATATTTTCTGTTGGGGCCACACAGTTTCTTTTAACCCATCCCATCAGCACACACGGCTTTTTTAACAACAACAAAAAACGTACAAAAAAATTACGCACTTAACGCTCCTCCCTCCCGCACAACATTGACACAGAACCATAACAACCACCACCACCACAACAACCACCACCACCACAACTGCCGCCACCACCACCACAATCACCACAATCACCACCAGCAGCAGCACCAATGAATGGAGGCGTCTGTTTGTCCCCCACCAGATTACGAGTGACCCTCCAGATACGATGACCCCTGCGTTAAGATGAAGGGGTCACAGTTCAAAAGCTCGTGAACCAGAGATGCTCTGCAGGCAATGACGGCTGCGTGAAACTCAAGCTGAGATGAGGGGGGCGGGTGTGGTGGTGGTGGTGGTGGGGGGGAGAGGTGGGGGGAGGTGGTGGGTGGGGTGGGGGGTATAATCGGTGGAGACCCTGGGTGTGTGGGCAACTGCAACCCCGAGGCTGTAAGGGAATGTACCAGGGCATCGAGGCAACTCCCACCCATCACGTCTCTCTCTCTCTCTCTCC